TTCACCCTTCTATAAGCCCTTAAAAACAGGAAAACCCTGTAAGAGTTAATGCTATCGTAAAAAATCTGGCCTGTAAAAAGAGTAAGAATGCCGGCCTCTTGGATGGTGTATTATAACTTTACGACTCGGTGGCGGCTCGGATGACCAGGATGCTGTGCTTTGAAGGGGCGGCAGGCAAATGACTCGCTCGGTTAATGCCCAAGTTGGAGCATGTGCCACAATCGAATTCACCGCCTGGTGCACAAGTCAAGTCGGATCTCAATCAAGCTACATTGACCATGGCGTCACTCGGCGACGACCAAGCTGCCGCAGAGCTCCTGGACGAAGTTGACGCGGAGTTGCGGGAGCAGGCAGCTGAAGAATCAGCAAACGTGTTTGTGTCCATTAAGGACCTGCCCCACTTTGCAAAGACAATGGACACCGGGCCGGGCGTCCTCGTCTCAGTCATCATGTGCGTGTTGTCATCGGAGCGGCTGACGAGGCTGACAGAGACACGCGCGTCACTCTGGTGGATGGCCTCATGCAGCCCCATTGGAAGTCCTACAATCGGAAGCTATCGGCAATGGACCCTTTCCGGAAGGACACCCGCGTGGTGAAGATTACTGTGTGGGACCCGAGGGTGCGGTCAGTGACCAGACCGCGCTTTCAACTCGGTACCATATACGAGCTGAAGAAAATCCATGCGCTCAAGTTCTACCACGACGTGCTTCAGGGTAGCTTGCAGGCTGTCGGCTCGAACGATCCATGGGTCATCCGTGAGTACGGCGACTTTGAGGCTGTCAAACGCGCCAGAACAGAGGAAGCCACTCCTTTAACGAACGAAGGCGATGAAGACGAAGAGGAAAAGGAGGAGGAGCCGATGGAGTGAAGCACTTTGAGCCTGCAGGACTGCAAGGGCGGCGAGGAAGGGGAAGTGGGAGTGTTAGGCATGGGTACCATGTAGTAGTAGTAGTAGTAGCCATTCTTTATCTTTCTTTTTACGAAGCCCGTTAATTCGAAACGCCTAAATTCAAACAATACGTTTCACCAGATATAAAAGGAAATAAATAATGAAAGATACTTGAAGAGGTTCGGACCAACCGCTTGATACTTATGCGATGGATGTGCTAGGGAATGGTGTTAGCTTAAAGTTGCGGTTTCAGCAAAGTTCTCACACTTTATTTTGCCGCCTCCACCACTGATGCCTCTCGGAAGCGGTCAGTACAGCTGACGTTAGATCGGTTTCTGGTAGGAAGCGAAGAAGATCGCTTCAAACGAGCTCGCTTTTCCGAGAACTTGGTATGATCCTGACTTCTTCAGGGGCAATGTGCTAATTAAAAATCTGTGCTGTATGTGGTCGCAGCTATTGGATACAAGGTCCGTTGTTCAGGCTTATGGCGAGTACAACCCGATAACGAAAAACGTATACATATCTCGACTTAGAGCATGGCTTTCAGAGGTGGGCGATTCGAATACTTCTGTTTCGTTGTGAGGACTAACGTTTCTGAATAAAGGAGGACATTCGGCTTTGTGGGTGTCGGTGCCAGGACGGTGGGGAACGACTGTGCGAAATAAGTTGTGAGAACAGATCAGTAAGTATTCTACTGACAAGAAAAACCAAATCTTACACTAACAAAGTGTATGTTCCGACGAAGATGAACGTAGAATGCGTGGCAGGCCGTTGTTCGTCCAACACGAACTGCAGTAACCAGAGGTTTCAGGAGGGCTCGTCGGTGTCGCTTTCTTTGTCAATCTGTGGTCAAAAAGGGATCGGCCTGATTGCGGATCAACTAATTGAAAAAGACTCGTTCATCATCGAGTACACAGGGGAAGCAATTCCTCGTGGGGACTACTATCAGCAATACGCGGTGAGTGTTTTAAAATATTAATTCGGATCTGGTCTGAGCTGTGTATACTGTAGAATCGACCTGGTACCCGAAACTATTATGGCGTACAGTCGAACACAAGAGAGATCATCGATGCTACGCAGTAGGTATCAATGGCAAGATTTGCCAACCATAGTTGTGCACCTAATTGCAATTTGGAGTGCTGGGACGTGAATGGAGAAGCGTGTTGCGGGCTGTTTGCAGCGTGCACGATTGAGCGCGGAGAAGAAATCACGTTTTGCTACGCGGGGACCAGGATGGGAAAGAGAACGGTGAGTTGGAAGTAGTGCGTGGGGAACTAGCTGTCACGGAGTGTTTTGTTCGTTTTAGGTAAGGCCGTGCTTTTGCCTTGAGCCAGCGTGCCGGGGATATGTGCAGAAGTAGTGTTTCGCAGGGCATACTAGTCCTAGCGGGTGAAATTAAACGGGTGGTTCTCTAAAACAAATGTAGTACTTGTTTCTTTTCTGGTACTATTAATTTAAGTAGAAAAAAGACCATGACGGATGATGTGTCAGGTCGATTGTGTGGACATCTTGTGTAACATCGAACGGGAAAGGACGCGGTCAATGTAATACTGCGAAACCATCGGATGGCTCCGAAGCTCACCCCACTTCGTGGGTGGATGCGCTGGTACGTTCGTCTTGTTCGCTGAAAAAGTTGCCAGAAGGATCGCTCAGGTGCCTTACCCGATGATGCTTTTGACTGGAATTTGTGTTTAGTATCTAGAACGTAAATGCGTGAGTGTGGCGGATCGCTCGTTGCTCTAGCAGGAAGAGAGTGTTAAACGACCTAATACTGAAACGGCGTAGCATTTGAAAAGCGAATGCTATTGCTATTTTTGCGTGAACATCATCATGGCGAGGTCTATGAAGCCAGGTGTCAGAGTGCGGGGGGGAGCGAAGGTGGCAAAGAAAACTTTAAGGAGGTTGTCGAGACGGCTAACGGATATAGGAATGCCGGCAGCTCAAACAGGCAGTGTGAGTCTAGAGGATGCGGAGAA